CCTCATAGAGCACTGTTGGTTTTATTAGTCAGCCGCAAGAGAGCATTGGCAGTCCATAGATTAGAACTGAGACAGAAAGCTTAAAGCATGGACCGTTCTGGTCAGCCCAGAGCCCAGCCATACTGTAGTGAATCCCATATTCAGTCTCTGTCTGACTTCCTTAGTCAGTTCCCAGGTGAGAGTCCCCGATTCCTTCCAGCAGTCAATCATAGAATCATAGAATATCAGGGTTGGAAGGGACCTCAGGAGGTCATCTAGTCCAACCCCCTGCTCAAAACAGGACCAATCCCCAACTAAATCATCCCAGCAAGGGCTTTGTCAAGCCTGACCTTAAAAACTTTAAGGAAAGAGATTCCACCACCTCCCTAGGTAACGCATTCCAGTGTTGCACCACCCTCCTAGTGAAAAAGTTTTTCCTAATATCCAACCTAAATCTCCCCCACTGCAACTTGAGACCATTACTCCTCGTTCTGTCATCTGCTACCACTGAGAACAGTCTAGAATCATCCTCTTTGGAACCCCCTTTCAGGTAGTTGAAAGCAGCTATCAAATCCCCCCTCATTCTTCTCTTCCGCAGACTAAACAATCCCAGTTCCCTCAGCCTCTCCTCATAACTCATGTGTTCCAGTCCCCTAATAATTTTTGTTGCCCTCTGCTGGACTCTTTCCAATTTTTCTACATCCTTCTTGTAGTGTGGGGCCCAAAACTGGACACAGTACTCCAGATGAGGCCTCACCAATGTCAAATAGAGGGGAATGACCACGTCCCTTGATCTGCTGGCAATGCCCCTACTTATACAGCCCAAAATGCCATTGGCCTTCTTGGCAACAAGGGCACACTGTTGACTCAAATCCAGCTTCTCGTCCACTGTAACTCCTAGGTCCTTTTCTGCAGAACTGCTGCCTAGCCATTCGGTCCCTAATCTGTAGAGGAGCATGGGATCCTTCCATCCTAAGTGCAGGACTCTGCACTTGTCCTTGTTGAACCTCATCAGATTTCTTTTCGCCCAATCCTCTAATTTGTCTACGGCCCTCTGTATCCTATCCCTATCCTCCAGCGTATCTACCTCTCCTCCCAGTTTAGTGTCATCTGCAAACTTGCTGAGGGTGCAATCCACACCATCCTCCAGATCATTAATGAAGATATTGAACAAAAACAGCCCCAGGACCAACCCCTGGGGCACTCCTCTTGATACCGGCTGCCAACTAGACATGGAGCCATTGATCACTACCCGTTGAGCCCGACAATCTAGCCAGCTTTCTATCCACCTTATAGTCCATTCATCCAGACCATACTTCTTTAACTTACTGCCACGAATACTGTGGGAGACCATGTCAAAATCTTTGCTAAAGTTAAGGAACAACACGTCCACTGCTTTCCCCTCATCCACAGAGCCAGTTATCTCGTCATAGAAGGCAGTTAGATTAGTCAGGCATGACTTGCTCTTGGTGAATTCATGCTGACTGTTCCTGATCACTTTCCTCTCCTCTAAGTGCTTCAGAATTGATTCCTGGAGGACCTGCTCCATGATTTTTCCAGGGACCGAGGTGAGGCTGACTGGCCTGTAGTTCCCAGGATCCTCCTTCTTCCCTTTTTTAAAGATGGGCACTACATTAGCCTTTTTCCACTCGTCTGGGACCTCCCCCGATCGCCATGAGTTTTCAAAGATAATGGCCAATGGCTCTGCAATCACATCCACCAACTCCTTTAGCACTCTCGGATGCAGCACATCTGGCCCCATGGACTTGTGCTCGTCCAGCTTTTCTAAATAGTCCTGAACCACTTCTTTCTACACAGAGGGCTGCTCACCTCCTCCCCATGCTTTGCTGCCCAGTGCAGCATTCTGGGAGCTGACCTTGTTCGTGAAGACAGAGGCAAAAAAAGCATTGAGTACATAAGCTTTTTCCACATCCTCTGTCACTAGGTTGCCTCCCCCATTCAGTAAGGGGCCCACACTTTCCTTGACTTTCTTCTTGTTGCTAACGTACTCGAAGAAACCCTTATCCCCCACCTTCCCCGTCCTTTGTTGTCAAGCTGGGCTCTTTGCTCAGCTTCCCTGCTGAGAGGTGGGGAAATCCCTCTCCCTGTATGTCCTTAGTTACTAGGTGTCCATGTCCTAATGACTGGCTTTGCCACTGTCTTCTCAGATTCTCTTTTAATTTGAGGCTGGCCTCAGCCAGTCCTTTTTAATGGCCCATCCCAGCTCAGACAGCTAGGCAACATTCAAACTGATGTTTCTTAGCCTGAGAACATTGCCGCACCAGCATCAACTTTCTGGATACCACAATCAGCTTCAGCAATGGAACCCTACAGAAAACCAGAGAAGAAACCCACAGATCCAGTAACCACCTCAAACACACCAAGAAATCTGTTATTTACAGCTAGGGTGACCAGTCAAGAAGTGTGAAAAACTGGGACGGAGGTGGAGGGTAGTAGGCATTTATATAAGACAAAGCCCCAAATATCAGATCTGTCCCTATAAAATCGGGACATCTGGTCACCCTATCTACAGCCAGGCCCTTGGATACTGAGGAATATGCTTGAAGGAGGAATCCTAGGACACACCCCTTAACACATGTAAAACTGCCTTCACCAAACAAGGACACTCCACCAGAGAAGTAGATCACAGCCTGGAATGGGCCACCAAAAAACCACAAGAGAACCTGCTTCAATATAGGGAACAAAATCTTCAGAGCGCACTCATCCCTAGTCGTCACCTATCACCACACACTGGAACCCAGACGGGGTTATCATTAAACAATTACAACCCATACTCAATGGCAAAGTTCCCTCTACGTTTTTTACATCCATGTGCGGAATGAATTTTGTTATGTGCACCAATATGGATGTGATGTGTGGTGGGGGCTGAAGGGTTCGGAGTATGGGAGGGGGCTGGGGATGAGGGGTTGGGGATGAGGCTAAGGGCTAGAGCAGAGGGTTGGGGTGTGGGGGGGTGAGGGCTCTGGCTGGGGATGCGGGCTCTGGGGTGGGGCCAGGGATGAGGGGTTTGGGGTACAGGAGGGCGCACAGGGCTGGGGTGCAGGGGGGTGAGAGGACTCCCCCGCACCCCTCTCTCGCCGCAGCAGCCTGGGACTGGGGGAGAGTGCCGTGCAGCTTAGAGGGAACTTAGCTCAATGGGGATGTTACATGCCATGGCTCCTCTCCTACCTTCTTCCCCACAGAAACTGCACAGTCTCTAGTTCTTGTTCCTTCACCGGACCCTTTTATTTTATGTTCCCTCCAACATTTCTACAGCAATCCCTGTGCAACAGTCTATTTACAGCACCAACAGCCCTTTTAGCCCTCTCCCCAGGACCTGTGGGAAATGAAGGTCTCCCTCCTGAGACCTCGGTGTAACTGGTTTCGACTAGCCTTGGTCCCCTCTCTTCTTCCCCTCCCCCATGGGACTTCCTTCCTGCCTCCTTGTCAGCTCAGCCGGATGGTCTAATTACCTCCCTCAGTTTTCTCAAGGGGAACTAATGAACATCAGCATGATCAAAGGACAGGCTCACCTGTGTGCATGCACCCTGCACTCTGTCACGCACCTCTACCCTTGCCTACTGCTGACGTTCCTTCTGCCTCTGGCCTGCCCTTCCCTAGAGGAGGTGCCAGGTACCTCTTTCCTGTGCTCACCCCCAGGGTGATTATCCCCCCTCCACCCACCGAAGTCACATTTTGTGGGTGGGGGGACACCCCCATGATTCAGTTTTGGCCCACTGATCTTCACACCAAGGGCAACTCGAGGGTTTCACTCCTCCCTATCGCAATATTTGCTTTGCAGTGGGGTCTGTCCTGTCCCCTCTCCATGTTGTTCCTCTGTGCACTCTTGCTCTCCTCGTCCTACCCACTTATCTCGGGGCTCCTCTTCTCGAGGCCCTGGTAGCGAACCTTCCGAGGACAGCCCATCCCACTCTGTTATGTCCTGCCTTCCCTTTTCTCCTAAAGCCTGCTTTGCTAATTCCTCCTCTTTTCCGCTTGGGAACGTTTATTTCCTTTTGTCACCCTCGACTTGCATCACATTGTCTAGGGTTCTCCTGCTCCTCTACTTCAAGCCCCTTTCTCTATCTCTGACCAGTTCCTTTCTGCCATGGACCCCAACTAAGCTGCTTTCCACTTAAAGGGGAAGGGGCTCCAATCCATCCCTACCACCACCGGTTGTGGCAACCTATCCACAACCCCAACCCATTTCCAACTCTCTCCGGACCTTCAGGGGAATCTCTGCCATTGGGCAGAGCTTTCTCTCCCCATGAATGCACTCCAAACTCAGCCTTTCTCTGGGAAGGATCCAGTGTAGCTTTACCACATCTTTCCTAGCCAGCAAACATCCTGATGCAGTGTCCACTAGGCCTTTCTCCCATCCACTCCCAACCTTCATCGAGACGGTTGGCATTTTCCTCTGTAGCAGGTCCCAGTCCAACTACAACGTTGTGCCAGTCCAAGGTCCATGGATGGGCAGTCTCTTTTTATAGGCCATGTCTATAAAAATCTTCTTCCTCAAACTCTTCCATGAGTTTGACTGCTGCCTCCAGGATTGTGGGTTGGTACCTCCTCACCGAGACACGGGTGTTCTCTGGGAGGCCTTGTAGAAATTGCTCCAGGATTACGGAGTCCATGATTTTGCCCATAGTCTGCTTGCCTGGCTTCAACCACAGGGTAGCCCAATCAGTTAGTTAACCTTTGGGCACATGTCCTGGCCTGTACATCTCCAGCCTATCTAACAGCCCGAAACACCTGCCAATATTTCTCCGTAGACAATCCCACTCGGAGGAGCATGGCTGCCTTAACGACATCAAAGTCCTTTGTCTGTTTGTCACCCAAGGCCATGCAGGCCACTTGAGCTCCCCCGCCAAATAGGTTGTTGGCAGGGAGGGGGGGCACATTCCTCTGTCCCAGCCAGCTCCCCTCTCAAATGCTACCCTCTCAAATTGCTACCCTCTCAAATGTCATTTACACAGGCCAACCCCCAGGCTCCGGTTACCGTTCCCCGTACCGGAACTCACCAGTGTCTGAAGCAACTGCTGCTGCACTCGTGCTTGCTCCCTGATAAATTTCTGCAATCTCCTCTGTTGCTTTGCTTGCCAGGCCAGCAGGGATTGTCTCTCCAGCTGGTGTGCCTGTTGGAAAGATTGCATGCTCTGTTGCAGCTTCTTCTGCTGGTCCACCAACCACTGCAGAGTCTGCTCCATCGTACGGGTGCCAAATATTTGCAGCAGCCTCCCCCGTGTCTCTCAATCACCACAACTGGGAAAGTCAAGACCCTGGACAAGCCCCCACGTGTCACAGGGTATGGCTCCCCTCCCACCTTCTTCCCCACAGAAACTGCAGGGACTCCAGTGGTTGTGCCTTCACCAAACCCTTTTATTTTAAGTTCCCTCCACCATTTCTACAGCAATCCCTGTGCAACGGTCTATTCACAGCACCAGCAGCACCTCTGGTCCTGAAAGGAACAGAGGTCTCCCTTCCCTGTGGTCTCAGTGTAACTGGGCTCAACTAGCTCTAGTCTGGTCTGGTCCCATCCCATCCTGTCTCCCTCCCCGCCCCCCCATGGGACTTCCTTCTTGGCTTCCCATCCCAGCCAGCCAGCCACTCTGATTCTCTAACTACCTCCCTCAGCTTTCTCAAGGGGAACTAAATCACATCGGGTGATCAGAGTGCAGGCTCAACTGTGTGCACCCTGCACTCTGTCACAGGGGACCGCAGCCTGGAAGAAATCTTTCCTAAATCCCCTCTTCTGGCCTTCAAACAACCCATCAGCCTCACCAACTCATCATCAGAAGCAAGCTCCCCACAAACCAGGACCCAAGAGTGGCACCAGACCCAGCCAGAACAACAGATACAAAATCTGCAGACGTATCACCACTGCTACGATGATCAATAGCTCCCACAAAATACCTTTCAAGATCCATAGAATCCTAGACTATCAGGGTTGGAAGGGACCTCAGGAGGTCATCTAGTCCAACCCCCTGCTCAAAGCAGGACCGATCCCCAATTTTTGCCCCAATCCCTCAAGGATTGAACTCACAACCCTGGGTTTAGCAGGCCAATGCTCAAACCACTGAGCTATCCCCCCCCCCTGTCTAAAAAAATTAAAAAATATAGAATATCAGGGTTGGAAGGGACCTCAGGAGGTCATCTAGTCCAGTGGTCCCCAACCTTTCTTGTGGGAATAGCATATGGGTGTTCTGAGCGGGAGCACCCACGGAAAAAAATGGTGGGTGCTTAGCACCCACTGGCAGCCCCCCATCAATGTCTCTCCCTCCCCCAGCACCTCTTGCCCGCCAGCGGGCTCCGCCAATCAGCACCTCCCCCTCCCTCCCTGCACCTACCACCTGTCATGGATTAGCTGCCGGAAAGGGGGTGGAGCGAAGGCGCAGCGCGCTCAGGGAAGGGGGCAGAACTGAGCAGGGAAAAGGCAGGGCAGGAAGAGGTGGGGTAGAGCAGGGGAGAAGGAGTAGAGCGGGGGCGGGGTCTGGGCAGAGATGAGGGGGAGCACCCCCCCAGCAGACTAGAAACTCAGCACCTATGGTGCAAGTTCCACACAGTAGGCAGCGCTTGGCTTGCATGCCCCAGGTGGTATGGTCATGGCAGACCCACAGAGTAGTTAACTACATACATTAAATACTCCTGCTGGAAAGTTGCAATGTAACACCACTTTAGTACTTACAACTCAAAATAACCCACAAGAACTCCAAAACAGAAAGAGAGAAAGCAGGCTGCTCCCTAAGTGAGACACAACTCCCCCTCCCCCACTAATATAGGCTGCCCAGCTGCAGACTGTCTGCTACTAGGCCGCAATTGCATGCTTCCCTACAGAGCCCCCATGCAGGACCAGGAACCCCTGAAATTTGAAGTGACTGCCTACAATTTTAACAGTCCTCAGTATACCATCTCAGGGAAGCCTCCTGGTCACTAACAGAGGCTGACTTCTGCCCTGATGAGGAAGGTTTCATATCCTCTCTACCTTGCCCTCTGCCCTCTCTCATGGCTCCTCCTTATTGTTTGGGCTCCCTCCTTGTGAGGCCTGCCAGAGCCCTTGCACACACCCCTTGCTGGCAGAAGATACTAGGGTGACCAGGTGTCCGGTTTTTGACCTGCCTTAGCCCGCACAGTGTGCTGCTGACTGGGAACCGCCCCCACTGCGCCGCTAACCAGGATCCACCTGAGGTAAGCCCATTCTCCAACTCTGAGCCCCAATCCCCTGTCCCAGCCCTGACCACCCCCCCACAAACCCAGAGCACCCTCCTGCATCCCAAACCCCTCATCCCTGGCCCATCCCAGAGCTAGCACCCCCAGCCAAACACCCTCACCCCCGCCTGAACCCCAATCCTCTGCCCCAGCCCTGAGCCCCCACAAACCTGGAGCACCCTTCTGCATCCCAAACCCCTCATTCCCAGCCCAACGCCGTCACCCCCTCCTGCACCCCAACTCCCTGCCTCAACCCGTAGCCCCCTTCCGCACTCCGAATCCCTTGGCCCCACCCCCCAGTCTGGAGCCCCTTCCTGCAAGCCAAACCTCTCATCCCCGGCCCCAGCCCAGAGCCAGCAACCCAGCCCAGAGCCCTCACCCCAACTCCCTGCCCCAGCCTGGAGCCCCCTCCCACATCCTGAATCCCTCATTTCTGGTCCCACCCAGGAGCCCACACGCCCCGTTAGAGCCCTCACCCCCTCCCACACCCCAATCCCCTGCCCCAGCCCAGCAAAAGTGAGTGAGGGTGGGGGAGAGCGAGCCAGTGAGGGAGGGGAAATGTAGTGAGCAGGGGCGGGGCCTCGGGGCAGGGGGGTTTGTTTTTTTGCGACTAGAAAGTTGGCAACCCTAGAAGATACCTCTGACTGGGAGGGGTTGGGTCCAGCCTACCCTGCCTGTGCTTCCTCTCTGAGCTGATGGACTTTGCTGTCCAGCTGCTGGTATGAATCCCCAGAGGGTGCTGCTAGGGACAGTGAGTTACACACAAAGTGAAAGGGGCTGAGCTAACTGGGAGGAGCTGTATGATGCCCTTCGCCTTATCCACGAAGGCCAGCCACCCTTCGCTCACTTTGACCCAAAGGAAACCCTCACATCTCTAGAAAGCAAGCCCCTTCTCTGACATCCCCTTGCACTGAAGACTAACAGCCTCCCACTGCTGTGTCCAGAGGTCCCCACCTTGTGCCCCCTGATGCCAGCCAACACCCTGCACACCCATTTATCAAAGCAGTTTTCTGAAGATAACCCCCACTCAGCAGGAACTGGTCATCAGCCACAGTCCCCAACCCTGTGCGGGAGGGGGAGGAGGTGACTAATAGCCATCTTTCTAATGTTTAACTGCCAACCACCATATAGACTTTTACAGATCAGTTGATGTCCAGCCCATCCAGGCCTCATTTTAAATCCCTTCTTATCCATTTACCCTCGCCATGATATACAAATGTTAAGCTTCAGACCCAATCCCATAACTCTCCAAATCCTTTTATTTAGTATTAACTATTCTAGCTCTGTGTATTCTCATTCTCAAAAGAAAGGTGCAATCCTTCTTTCAGTTTTCCTATGTTCTTGGCCTCAGTGAGTTCCTGTGGCAGTGAGTTCCAGAGTCTAATTATCTGGTGAGGAAAAACGTATTTTCTCTTATCAGTTCTGAGTTTGCTACCTTTCAATGTCAGTGAACATCCCTCACTCTTCTGTTATGAGGCAGGGAAACCAGAATCCCCCAATCTCCCTTCTCTAGACCAGTCACTATTTTATAAATTTTTCCCATGTCCCCTCTCTAAAGTAACAATCCCCATCTATTCAGTGTCTCCTCATAGCAGAGGTTTCCCAGATTCCTACTCACTCTTGTCACACTTCTCTGACCCCGTCAAATCCCTTACTGGGATGGGGTGACCATCGCAGTATCCAGGTGAGGCTGCACCACTGATTTATAGAATGGCGATAAAGTATTCCCTGTATCATTCTCCATCTCATCCCTTATGCAGTCTACATGTCCATTGCCTTTTTGGACTTTAGAAAGAGGGTCTCACTTGGCCTGTCAGTAATGATGCCCAGGTCTTTTCCATGAATTGTTACAGTTAATTTAGATCCCAGGGAGGTGTATGAGCAATTCATACATTTCCCTCCAACGTCCATTACTTTGCATTTATCAACATTTAACTTCCCCTGCCACCAGGTGGCCCATTCACCTGGCTTGGTTAGGTCCTTGTGAAGTTCCTCACACTCTTCTCTGGACAGTGAATGGGCAGCACAATGGCAAATGGGAGCAATAAGGGAATCGGGTAACCAGCTTACTGCATCAATGGCAGTTATTTTGGGAAAGTCACAGAGAACAGAGCAAATATCGTGGACAACTGGAGGGAAGCAAATGCATTGCAGTACTGGTCTTCACAGAAGGAAACAAGAATCTATCCTGGAAATTGACACCTGAAAGTCTCACTCTTCCATCACCCCATATAAAACAATGGACGGAACACTGACAAGCATCACTAAACATCTGGAGGGGAATGGAACCATAAGCAGTAAGTTGCTTTGGGGAATAAATCCTGACACACACAACTGATTGTTTTTGTTGACATGCATTTTACAAAGGGAAAGGATGAAGACAAAGCAGAAGACATCAGCTCTGGATTTTAGCAAAGAATTTGACATGGTGTCTCCTAAACCCTGTGCTTATAATTAATTCAAATTAGCTGGTGAAGGAAAACTGCAGCCAAGACAGAAAACTGGCTGCAGGGCCATAAACAAAGAGCAGTGCTAACCTCTCCAGTATTGTTGGGCACTGCCACGACCATTGCTAGACCTGGTCTCTTCCTAGGGTTGCCAATTTGGTTTGGATGTATTCCTGGAGGTTTCATCATGTGACATGATCTTTAATTAAAGATTCATCTTTAATTCCTGGAGACTCCAAGTCAATCCTGGAGGGTTGGCAATCCTATCTCTTCCTGGATCTTCATCAATGCTCTGGGTGGATAATATGCAACGCAGATGATACTAAACTGGGAGGAACCGCCAGCACCTGGAGGACAGAGACATAATCCTAGAGAGCTGCAGAAGCTGGACATGTGGGAAGGACAAACTGGGATTCTGCTTGGGAAATAGCAGATCTGACGTCTGGGAAATATCCCAGACCCAGATAGTCAGTGGGAGGAAG